GATGAATCTGGAAATTTTTTAAATGCACTAATGATATTTTGCTTTGTGGGGGAATCTATAATAATAGAACTTTTTCTCTTCAAATAACAAGTATAGGTGGCCTTAGTTAGGCTATCAAAGAACTTATCATCCTCTCTTAATTCTATATTCACTTGTTTGATTAACTTTTTTTCTTATTTGTTTTTCTCTGACATTTCATATAATAATCATTTTTTTTAATTTCAGCATATTATGGGGGTACAGATGTTTAGGTTACGTATGTTGCCCTTGCCCCCCTTCCCCCCTAAGTCTGAGAATAATCATTTTTAAAGTGTCAAAGATATTTATTTGTTAGAAGTTTCTCTACCTGGCTTTTTGGTACTCTAGGGTATCTTGCATAATGGAATTCTGTTTGAAATGAAGAATGTCTGCTGTAAAGAAAGAGAATTCTTTATTTAGTAGCTTAAAAAAATTTAACAACATTTCATTATTTAGTAACCTGCTCCAAATTTTGCCCACATGCACGTATCATAGGACCTCATTCACGGTTCGGTTTGTGTGGTGAGAACTGCTTCACTTCATTTTGTGGTCTCACATCTCAGTGTTTGAACTCCCTCAGAATGCGCCTTATAATTTCAGGCGATGTAAGCGTGTAGGAGTTTATTTATGAAAGGCCCTAGGAATTCAAACACACAAATCTATGCTTATTTATCTTCTGTGTAGCTAATGACCAGAGAAGTCTTGCCTTTGACATCTAGTTTGTTACTGAATATATAAAATTCTGCTATTTAAGGAAAACAGTTGTAATTTTGAAAAGAAGCTCATTCTTAGGCAGTTTTTATTCCTTAGTAAGGTATAGCTATGGTAGATAATTACATAACATTTGATGTTTATACCTTTTGTAACTTTAGGGTTAGTTGTATATATTTTACAAAATTAACATATAAAATGTTTGTTTTATCTCTGAATGCTTTCTTTTTGACCCTCTTTCACTTGGTTTAATTGTGGGCAACTGCGTATTAGCTTTGAGGTTAGTAATTGAGGTTCATTGATACTTAGAAAATTATTTTGTAAAGAATAGTAGCTCATATGTATTTAATAGGGAGGCATTCTATCCAAAAACTGAAAACTCAGTCTTTCTAAACTGTGTTTGGTGGTACAACTTTACCCCCACAAACTTGAAACAGGTTTTTTAAAAAGGCCCTTAATTAAATTAATTTTTTCTTTCTCTACTCGAATTTACCTAACATAAATACAATAAGCAGATCTTTAAGAGAGAAATCTTCAAGAAGCTTTTAAAGAAATACTGCTTTAGTACCATTTTCCTAGCTCTAGATATTTTTATAATCCTTTACAGCAGTAGTGAGAATGCTTTTATTAATAAATTTTATTAATTTCATAGGAAAGTAATCAATGATCATATTCAACCAAACAAATCTTAAGTTAATATTTCATTCTTTTATCAAAAGAAATTCAATTCACATGCTTTTGAAATTGAGACCAGAGAAATAAAATCTGACTCAATATGTGCAAGACTAATTTTAGATATGCTGGATCCTATATAATGACCATTTAAGGGAAAGGAAAGGGAGAAGGAAGATAAACATAGATGGAGAAACAAAGCAAGAGGATAGAGGGAAAGGAGAGAATGGAATTTGGCCAATAAAAAGAAAAAACAAAATCAAAGAGATGTCATAGAAGAAGTAAAAAGAAAAAAGACGAAGAAAAAAAGGGAGTCAATTTTACTTCCCATCCAGATCTTGTTTCCCAAAATAATTCTTTCTGTCTTGTTCCCCAGCCCCTCCGCTTCTGTTCTGCGTCAGCATGCATACAGCTCTCCCACCGAAGCTAGTCAGAACAGACCAAGCTTGCTGCAGAAACCCCTATCCTTTTCTCCCTGCTACCAAAAACATTCCTTTCCTTCCCAGCTCTTTCCCCTGACCCCTCATTTTCAGGCCCAGCCTTCCAACGTAGAGAAATATTCTTCCATCTTCTAAGCCATCACCTGCCTGGCACACAGTGGTCATTGACCGCTGATCTCCAAGGCTTTACAACAGAAACTCTGTGTATATTAAAGAAATTATTTTTTGTCTATTATCATAGTACCAAAAATGTTTCCCAGTTCGTCATTTGTCTTTTTGATTTTATTTAGTAGTTTTGGCTATTTACAGATTTGTCGGTTTTGTAGTCAAATTGATGGATCTTCTCTTTTATGCCTTCTGGGTACGGTGTTATAATTAACAGATTCCCACTCAAAATAGATTTTTAAAATTTCTTAAAGTTTGTTCTGATACTTTCTGGTTTTACTTCTTAACATTTAAATATTACTCCATCTGTAACTTATCCTGGTATAAGGTATGAGGTAGTAATATAAATTTTTCCCAAATGGATACCCATTTTCTAAGTAACCTGCCTATTTTCCCACAGATTTGAAATGTCTTTTATCATATACTAAATGCCTATAAATTGAGTCTCTTTCTGGGCTTTATGATCTATTGAGCTGTCTCTCTCTGTGTGCACCAGTGCCACACAGTAATTAGTGTAGTTTATAATGTTTTATCTGGTAGGGCTGATCTTCATTCCTTGCTGTTTTTTAGAATTGGGTTGGTTATTCTTCCATGTTTGTGTTTCTATTAGAAGTTGAGAATTGGCTTGTATCCTTATTTTAAAAATTCAGAAAGCAGTTTGATTGGAATCTTGGCAAATTTATAGATTAATTTGGGAAGAATTGACACCTTTGTGAGATTGAGTCTTCCCAGCCAAGATAATATTATGTTTTTCCATTTGTTTAGGTCTTCTTTTATGTCCTTTAGGAGCATTGTAAAGTTCCTTCACTAGTTTATTTCAGTCTCTAATGCTTTCCTAACCATATCAGTATGTAGAAGAATCTTTCATCTACTACCTTTTCTGTTAAGAGGTTTCTTGTGTAATAGCATTAACTCCTGTTACCCTTTTCAATTAATTCCTTACTTTCATTACCCTAGCTAAGGCTTTGTGTTTATTTGGCCCCTTTCTAGTCTCAGAGAAACCAAACTTCCAATGCATTTTTTTTTTTACCTTTCTTTGGCTATTTTATGACTTTACCAAAATGCCTTGCCTTGATCCAGAGCAGAAAGATAAAAATTGAACAAGAGAATTACAATGAATTTTCAATCACTAGAGAGTTCACTATAGCAGTAATTTCTAAATCATTTGCCCTTCCCTGTCATGCCTCTAGGTATCTGACCTTTATCTAATGATTTTTTTTCATGTCTCAGATAGTTATTGATTTCCACCATAAGCAAGGTGCTTTCTCTGTGAAAAAGACAATGGCCAATGACACCACCCCTGCCCTTCATTCAGTTGCTAATAATTTAGAGAATAGCCTAAGATTACACTAGTACTTTAAACTAGGCTTCTCAATTTCTCAGTGCTTTCCAACTTTGCATTGTCGTTTATTTAGAAGATTTTTTGCCCCTTTTTTCTATTAGATATGTTTTTTAAATTTTATTTTTAATTGAAAAATATTAATTGTATATATTTACAGGGTACAATATGATGTTTTCATACATGTTTACAATGTGAAATGATTCAGTCCGGCTTATTAAATCCATTACCTCACATACTTATTTTTTGTGTGTGAAAATTTGAAATAGATTTATTTTAAAACTTCCTTTCAAAATTTAAAAACAATTTCAAACAAAATTTAAATGATTATTTTGCAGACCGTCTTCCTTATCATAAAATATTCATATTATGGTCTGAAAAGTTGACGATGTGCTAATTCTGTCTATGCATAATTTCTGGAACTGGATATAATAAATCTCCTTTAAAATTCGTTTTAGCATATAATTTATAAGGTTAAAAAAAAATCAAGAACAAACTTAATTGTTAACATCCTGTTTTTCAGCCTGGCTGGGTTGTTTTGGACCAACCAGATGCTGCTTGCCATTTGCAGCAGCAACAAGAACCTTCTCCTCTACCTCCAGGATGGGAAGAGAGGCAGGATATCCTTGGAAGGACCTACTATGTAAACCATGAATCTAGAAGAACACAGTGGAAAAGACCAACCCCTCAGTATGTGATGATGGCTTTCACATTTGTAATCTGGATACATTTTGACTACTAATTTTCATTTTGAAGTCATGTCTCAAATGGATTCATAACAGTATAGGAGTCCGTAAACTGGAAGAATACCCAGATTTTTATGGCCCAGGGCTTAAAACATACTACCTCAGCTGTTTCTTTTTTTAAAATGATTTAATAATACTCAAAATTATTTGAATCACAGATGCTACTCTTTTAATTGTCTCTGAATTTTAATAATTTTTTTATTATATAGCCACAAATGGTACATTTTTCTCTTTAGACTGATTTAGAAAATCTTGGAGACCTTTTGTAGTTTGTTGTTAAAATATAATAAAATGTTAATTTCTACAGTACCTTATTTTTTAAATATAAATTATTTGTAAAATATAAAGGATTCAACAATAAGGGTCTCACGTTAAACACCCATTTGACAATCTGGTCAATGTATGCATAGCTTCCAACGTGCACAGATCAAGGACAGAATGACCTTTGACATATTCTAACTTGTGTCTCCTCAGTGATGTTTTTCTTTTACCATCATCAGACAGTATATACACTTATAAATTCTCTCATTATTCATATTTATTACTAAATCATCTTCCATTTCTCCTTCCATAGTCTTATGCACTTTCTTTAGTCTTCTACCATTTGACACATACTTATAATTTTTTTACTTGTCCATTAGCCTCCTAATTTTTGGCTTAGATATTTTGTATCTGCTATATGCCAAGCACTTTCTTAGATATTTTCTGTTCTCAAATTCTTCCAAAAAGTCAGCAATCCAATTTCTTCATGGCACAGAGGCATCAATCTTCATAGAATGACATGCAGATTCCAGAACCGAAGACACTATAAAATTCTGCAAAATTGCCCTATTGCATACCTCAGTATTATGGCAAGCCTGACTTGAGCAGAATCACATTTCTTTCGCTATGGCTAATGTCATTTTCAGGTAGCCAAAATCAAATATTCAGGGAGAAAAAAACTGAGGCATTCCGTTAGTACCATCTGTCAAAATTACGTTTTCTTCAGCTACCGTACAATAAGCATTTCTGACTATCTTCTGACTATCTTGGGCTCATATGGCATTAAATAAATTAACAATAATTTTGTATATCTAAACAAAATTCTTGATATGATAGTCTGGTTATATTAACTACAGATAACTATAGTAATATAACTTATAGATGACTCTGGTAAGAGTGTTCAATCTGATTTATTATAGCTTTTCTAAACTCAGACAGCCCTTTGCTGTTATCCTTTTTCAGACCAGGCCCATGACTGAATATGATCAAAAACAAATATCATTTAATCCCTAATCTATTAAGCTTTTAATTCTAGAATCCTTACCCTCTCTCTCGTTCTGCCCTCTGCATTCATGCATGGGGAGCTCTATTCCTGGCTTAAAACCAGTTCTAGAAAATGTATTGTCTGATTCACAAAGATGTATGTGTAACTCTAGAGCTACTTTAGATTTTACTCTTATAATAATGTGGTAAAATAATAATATAATGAAATGGTTTATGAAACTCTCTGATATTCATTCATTCAACAAATATTTTTGAGTGCCCATATGTGTCAGACATTATCCTAGACACAATGATGAACTAAAGTCTCAAAGTCAGACACATTACATATTTTCACAAAAAACTTTTTAAGTTCATAAGGGACTCTGAAAGTACCAATGTACCCACCATTTAACCTATATATATTGAAATAGCCTTTGGCCAAAAACAGTAAATTCCGATCTAATACAGATATTTTTAAAAATGGTAACAGAATCTTTGACTATCATTTTAACTATCTTAAGACAAGAGTGATGGCTTTTTATACTCCCAACACAGGGACAACTTAACAGATGCTGAGAATGGTAACATTCAACTGCAAGCACAACGTGCATTTACCACCAGGCGGCAAATATCCGAGGAGACAGAAAGTGTTGACAACCGGGAGTCTTCCGAGGTATGAGTAGTTTCCTAGTTCTCATTGACAGACACATGTTATGGCAATAAATTAAAGTATGTATGGCTTATTCTGTTCATTTTAGAATTGGGAAATTATAAGAGAAGATGAAGCCACCATGTATAGCAATCAGGCCTTCCCATCGCCTCCATCCTCAAGTACCTTGGATGCTCAGACTCACCTTGCAGAAGAATTGCATGCCAGGCTCACTACGTGTGGAAATTCAGCCACCAGCCAGCCAGTATCCAGCTCAGTAAGATGCCCTTAGATTTTGTTATGGCTTCAGGGTTTTATATTATATGTATTTTATCATTCAACAACTAACTTTTACATAAAATTTTGTCTTCAATGGCATGTAACAATATGTTAGGGACCTTGAGACTTCACAGCATGGTCATTTTTCAGTATCTGCACTAGTAGTATGGACCAGAGTCATGAGTCCAAATGTCCATTTTGTCAATGCCTCCAGCCAAAAACCAACAAGAACACTGCAGTTGAATGAGTTGGGTTTACTACTTTTTTCAGCAATGGAGAACACACGCCACGGGTGTCTTGGTAACAGGGTGTTAGAAAAGACTTAAAGGATTGGGCTCATGTTAGGTGATTTTGAGTAAGGTTTTAGGGAGCAGGACTTTGGTCTGTATTAGATGCTGTCAGAAAGCAGGGGTAATTCTGTGATTGTGTATCTCAAATCTTATCTATAGTGAGGCTAAAGCTATGACTGTCAAAGAAGAGCAGTCACTCACATTTGCCAGATAGAGAAATACTTGGTATTTGGTGGCTTAGGCAACATTTACGTTTTGTCTTTATTCAGACATGATTATAGAATGGTCTTGATTTTGTCTTGATCCTATCTGTGAGTGCCAGACCACTTCCTGGATGTCAGGGGCTGCTCTTCTCTTTCTCAGTTATAATGAAGTTATAATATTATATCACAGTTGTCACCAACACATACCTGTGAATAAGAGCTGCTGTACTTTGAATAAACAAGGAGATAGATGACATTCTCACTTCAGCAACCACTGTAAGAATTGCTGTCTGTAAGGTTCAGAAGCAGGCGTTCCAGTATACGCTGCCACAGTGAGACATTCATGGCTAGCTGTCTAATCCGTATCATCGGGGGAGATTCAGTAGAAGACAAGGATGGTTCTCTGAGGATGCTATTGATTATTTCCAGTTGGGGTTCCCCTGCTTTTCATTCAATTAGTAAATATTGAGAGCTGATCATATGCAAGGCACTATCTGCTAGTTACAGGGGATACATCAGTAAATAAAACAGACAAAAATCCCTTACCTCCACGGGACTTATATCCTAGTGCAGTGGTCCTACTACCTGTGGGCCAAATCAGCAGCTGCATGTTATCGTAAATAAAGTGTCGCTGGAATACAGTCACACCTATTTAAGTATTGCCTCTGACTGCTTTCATACTGTATCACCCAAGTTATTGATATTAATAACAGCCGCCATATGGCCCATCACAGGTGTTTACTGTCTAGACCTCAATGGGAAAAGTTTGCTAACTTCTGTTCTAGCACCTTCTTCAAGAAGCTTCACCATAGATAGCTGTATGTGAATAGCTGTATGAATATCCGGGAGCAGATATCTGCTGCCTGGCCTCTGTCCTTTCTTTCTTCTTCCATTCATTTCATTGTTTGTCATGACAGTGGAAAAGATCAGTCAAAGACTGAAAGGATAAGCTATTTTGATTTGCTGGTGATAAATCACATAGGATCTCATTCCATTTCCTCCTGATATTTTTTTATAATTATAAAGTAGTACACGGCACCCATACAGTGTAATACTGTGCAGACATTGAAAAGAATGAGGTGGCTTTGAGTGTTTATGTCATATGGAACAACCTCTAAGAGATATTAGTAAAAAAAAACGCATCCAGGTACAGAACAATGTGTTCACTATGCTACCATTTATGTAAATTATTTAAACAACAGAATAAACATGTGTATGATATTTCTTGAAAACTAAAGAGAAAACTGGTTACATTGCTTGCCTCTCAAGAGAGGAACAGGGTGAACAGGGCCTATATATTTTTGAGTTTCATACCATGTGTGAGTATTACCTATTCAAAAAAGTTAATTGATTATTTTTAAAGCATTGTATGGTTATGGTTAAAAGTTGAGATAGAGTTGAAGTGTATAAGATAAATCTTCCATCTTACCTCTAACATATGCTCCATCAGTCACTATTAATAGATACATTGTCTTAAACATTTTCTGTATATTCATAAACAAGTATGAGTACACATGTATATAATTAGTACACATGTATATAATTTTTAGCCTGAGATCATCTTAAACGGATGATAACTTGCGTTTTTCACTTGCCATATCTTGGACATTGGACCATCTCAGTAAATATTGTAGATGTACTCTTTAAAACTGACAGAAACAATCATCAGACTCTGGCATATTTCATGGTACACGTAACCCTTAAGGTATTCACCAGCCTCCCATCTATAGACTTGAGATTGTTTACAACTCTTTGTTACTATAAACAGCACTACAGTGGATATTCTGGGTTAATTTATACATGCATTGTAAATTTGACATCGTTAAATAACAAAACTAAGATAGTTCAGATGGCGACAACAGCATGTATATAAAAGTACAAGAAAGAAAGAATCTGGGATTTTCAGGAAACAAGTAATCTGGAATGCCCAGCAGGTAGGTTGTGAGCTGGGAAGCAGCTGAAGAGGTCAGGGAGAGGCAGGTGGTGGAGCTCGAGAAGCATTCTGTTCTGTGCTGTGATGGGCGTCAGCTCGAAACGGGCAGGACCAGATCTGCGTGTAGGATGCTCTCTGGCTGCCGCGCACGGGCCGGAGAATAGATGTAAAGAAATGAGACTCGAAGCAGGAAAACCTATGAGGATGTTGCTGCCATAATAATCGAGGTGACAAATAAAGAAAGCTTGAAATTAGAGGAAAAGAACAAACTTGAACTAAAGTGAGAGGAGACGTATTTGAGAATTAATAAAGAAATAGCCTGAATAGGATGTGGGTGCTACCCACTGAAAAGAGGAATGCCAGAGCAGGAACCGGTTTGAGTGGGTGTGGGTGGGGGAAAACCAAATCCGGATTTGGACACGTTCGGGGAGTATCTGTTAGGCATTCGAGACAAAGTGTCCAGGAGGCAGCCCGCCTCTGGGAGAGCGGCGGGAGCGGGATGTGGGAAGGCGTCTGCACGTGGCGCTGAGAGTGGTGAGGGCCGACGCCTGCCGTCTCCACAGTGACGTCCCAGCCAGCCTCTCTCTGCTGCCCCGTCACGCTCACCCTCACTATTTGTCTGCTGCTCAGAGACGAATCAGAGATCTAGAGGTATCATCATTCTGTTTCGTTTTTTTACAAGAATCATTCCAGCAGAAGAGGCAGCTTACAAGCCTATACTTTTGAGGAACAGCCTACACTTCCTGTGGTGAGTTTCATCCTCTCCCCTCAGTCATCGATAAAAATATAAAACTCAGCACCTTTTTTATTTTCTTAGAAGACGAAATGTGAGTGTTTGACTGCCTTGCAGGAAAACAATACAGCACAGAATCTAGGCTGCTGGCAGTCAGGTTGGGGGAGGGAACCGGAGAAGGGTCTTTAAAGACAAACCTCGAAGAACTGTCACTGTCACATTAAGAAAGCAAAGCCTCTGAGTGCTGGTGGCTGTGGGTGGTATCTGGGCTTGTTGGTTGAAGCCCTGTGCTGGCTGGAGGTCGTCTGCTGTGTGCCCCATGCAGTTTGGAATCATGGTGTCCTGCTGTCTCTGCTCTGCACATGGCACGTGACATCCAGCTTTGTACGTCCATGGCGTCTAACAGCCGTTTCTGCCCTGTGCACATGAAGCGTCAGTCAGGGTTTGGTCACTCAGTGAGGTGTGCACTGGCACTGGCAGGCCTGGCGGCCAGGTTAGAGTTTATCATTCCCCCATCTCTCTCTTTCCTTCGCTCTCACATTGACCATTCTGCTGGGGCCTTCTGCTTCCTGCGGTTCCCGAGCTGCAGGTTGGACCTTAAGAACTTCATGCCTACACCATTGACTCCCTTGTGGTTTCCCGGCCTCTAGCCTCTTCCTAACTCAAGTCTCACCTCTCTCAGTTTGCCTCTCCTTTACGTAGCCCCCACTTGTTTTTTAAACCAAATTAAAATTCCTGGGCTCCCAACCTCTTCAGCCTACCCTTCTCCTTATCCACCCACAGAAGCCTCCTGCTGCCTTCATCCTTGTCTGTGCTTTTTATTCCTAATAGGCTGACCCCATGTCCTAATTCTCTCCTCCTTCTGAGCCTGTGCACATTCTATTTCCCTACTTGGAATGGCCTCCTCACTCTTTGCACCAACCATTTGTAATTTTGAATGACAGTCTGTATAGCAGTTTTGAAAAGTAGAGTACGTTTTTGCTTTTATAGAAGTTACAGCATAGGAGTGCGGAGGCTCCGACATCCTCAGCCCAAGACTAGTTCATCTGTCTAAAAAGATGGCCCAGACTCAGAGAGGGACACGGGTCCTGTGCTGAGGAAAGAGGGGCACCCACATGTGCGGTCCATTGGCCTGGTCAATACTGACCATCGGCAAGAGGGTACATGCCACTGAGAGGTGGCCTTCATCAGCCTTGCTCTCCCTTATGGTCACCTGTCTGGCCTTCTCCATAAGAGTGGAGCATGCTCAAGCAGAGTTCCTTGGCATTTTTCCTACTGCACCTTGGCATGTCCTCCATACAGCGCAAATGTTGAATTTCTTCTATGTACCAGAAAAGTTGGTTTCCATGAATCTTTTTCTCAATACTTTGATGAGGGGTTTTTCTGAGCTTTCTTGAATTATAATTTACAGAAGTATAATTTACCATAAAACCCACCCATTTGTGAATGTACAAAGAGTTTTTGTCAATGTATACAGTTGTGCAAACATCACCATGACCAAGTTTTAAGAATATCACCCCCAAAACTTCCTTCAATCTCTATGCCTACTCTCAGCCCCAAACGAGCACTCTTCTGTTCTATGTTTTTACAGTTTTACCTTTTCTAAAAATTTCATATAAAGGAAATCACAAGTATATTGTCTTATGTGTCTGGCCCCTTTTACTTAGCATGATGTTTTTCGGATATATCCGTGTCATTGTCCATCTCACTAGTTGATGGTATTCCATTGTATAGATATATCCACTACGATTCATAGATATCCACCAGCTGATGAACATTTGTAAAACTGGGCAACTTTTAATTTCAGCATGTTGTAGTCTAACAGCTCATCCTGACTGTTTGCAGAGTACTGACAGCCCCGTGTCTCTAGCGAAGACCACTAGTGGTGGTTTTTATGTCATAAAGCACTTCAGGGAGCTGAGCCAAGCCTTGAAGATTCAGTGTGGTTCAAAATGACAAAAGAAGGACCAGACCTAGGACTATTTTAAGTAAACCTGAAAATAACCAGAACTTTCTTTGTTCATTTTTAATAGACTGTGATAAACAGCCTCTCCTAGCCCTTAGAGAAACATGGCAGGGGTAACTTTTGACTCGACACATGAGTGTGATTTCTATAGTTAAATTACCTGGGTTCAAATCTCAGCTCCATTTCTTACAAACAACGTGTCGTAGTAAATTACTTCAATTTTTCAAGCTTCAGTTTACTCTTCTATAAAATGGGCCAGTATTAGCAATTATCTCATTAAAATTTGGGGATTAAATGACATGATCTATATTAAAGCACTTAGTGTGTGTGGTTGTTATCGTTAACATGTTTTATTAGTGATGTTATCTCTCTTGTCATTATCGTCCTATTTTTTCCCAGGTGAAATACTATATACTGTATTTTGTATACTTTAAAATATTATTTAGAATGTGATTCATTTTAAATTGGAAATATATCATTTACCCATTTTCCATTGTAATAAATGGTTTTAGTTCAAAATAAAATAAAACAAAATACGGTTCATTTTAAAGAGAGCTAGTTGTGAAGAAGGGGTCTGATCCCTTTTAAAGGATTTTTCTAATTAGTAATTAACTCTCCTGTTATTCTTCACGTTAGCTTTTGCCTACTTCATCTGGATTACCACCAGGTTGGGAAGAAAAACAAGATGAAAGAGGAAGATCGTACTATGTAGATCACAATTCCAGAACTACTACTTGGACAAAGCCCACTGTGCAGGTACCCTGCAATCTTCTCTATTAACTTATTTTCTTACGAGATTTAAATGGTCACATTCGTATGTAAACTGTTACATCGCTGTGTAGTACACACTGGAAACTTCTAGGATCTTCTAATTATTTTCTGACATTGATGCTAAGAGTCCACCATTTCCTGTGGACCTCTGGTATATAAGAATTACCACTTGTTATTATATAAAATAAGTCCAAGTGGGAAGAAAAGGACAAAGTAAATGATCTAGTCTTTGGGTGGTTTTATAATTTGAATGGTTAAGATTATTATTTTACTAAAAAATAATCTTGGTGATTGTTATCTATTAAAGAAATGTATGATGATGACACTTCATCCTTGGCAACAATGAGTGCCTTTTATAATACTTGCTTGTCAGTGTCTGGCAAAATATTTATCTTACCACCATTTCTCTTGTTGAGAAATTTTTTAACACCGAAAACTCAGTACAGAGCATAATATAGCAAATACATATATTCTTCACACCCAGAATTTACCATTAGCAAGTTACCATATTCATTTCTAGACATTTTATTTTTAAAAATAGAGTCTTACAGATTAAGCTAAATTCCTTTTAGCCAAGCTCTTGGTCCCATTCCCCAGAGGGAACCAGCGGCTTGAGTTTGCTATGTATTCTTCTAGCCTATTTTATATACTTACATAGACAGCTAAACAATGTAAAATATTGTTTATGGCCATGTGTTTCAAATTTTGCATAGATTTTATGCCCTGTAAATCTAAATCTGTTTTTTGCTCAACATTGTTTTAAAGCCCTACCCATGTTGGTATAGATGTAGTGTATTTCTTTTAACTACTAATATTCCATCATGTGAATATATTACATTTCAATTATCCATTTCTGTAGTGGACATTCGCCATTCATTTTGTCTACCCAGCATTTGAATCTACTTCTATGTATGAGGAATTTCTCACTTTATGAGTCTTGGGGGAGCAAAGACAACCTCGTCCTGCAGGCACTGTGGCTCCTCTTGCAGTGAGGGTTCAAGCCTGTGGATCCAGCATCCTTGTTCAGATGCGTCCACAACAGAATGTTAACCACCATCTGACCGCTTGAGAACTAGCTGAGAAATTATAAATTATTGTAAAAATAAAGTTTGACAAAATACTTTATTGGGAAAAAAGTTATTAAAATGTTAGGGAAAAATTAATGTGTCATAACTACATTAGAAAATGAGCCTCAAATGTTTAAGGCCTATTTATAAGGGTGTATTCTACTTGCAGGTTAAGTTACCTTTTTAACTGCAGCATTTGTGAGTTCTCTATAAAATAGTACAACACGATTTAATTAATGTGCTAGGCCACAATGGAGACCAGTCAGCTGCCATCAAGCCAGAGTTCCTCTGCAGGCCCTCAACCACAGGTCCCCACAAGTGATTCAGCACAGCAGGTGACCCAGCCATCTGAAATCGAGCAAGGATTCCTTCCTAAAGGCTGGGAAGTCCGGCATGCACCAAATGGGAGGCCTTTCTTTATTGACCACAACACCAAAACCACTACCTGGGTAACTCTTCAGTTTAAATTATAACAACAATAATAATCTTTTGTGTATAGTTCTTTATAATCTTTAGTATAACCTATGTTTCCTAGTATTCACTGAAAGATATGTTGAATTTTTAATATTATTTAAACTCAGTCTATGCTTATGTCTCTTTTTAATATTGTTTTCGGGCCAGGTGTGGTGGCTCACACCTGTAATCCTAGCACTCTGGGAGGCCAAGGTGGAGGGATTGCTTGAGCCCTGGAAGTTGAGACCAGCCTGGGCAATAGAAAGACCCCATCTCTACAAAAAAAAAAAAAAAAGAAAAGAAAATTTTCCAGGTATGGTGCTATATACCTATAGTCCCAGCTACTGAGGAGGCTGAGGCAGGAAGATTGCTTGAGCCCAGGAGTTTGAGGTTGCAGTGAAATTTTCCAGGTATGGTGCTATATACCTATAGTCCCAGCTACTGAGGAGGCTGAGGCAGGAGGATTGCTTGAGCCCAGGAGTTTGAGGTTGCAGTGAGATATGACACCACTGCACTCCAGCTGGGGCAATAGAGCAAGATTCTGCCTCAAAAAATATATATATGTATAGTTTTGGATTGTTCTGGAGGTATTCATGTTTAATTCCTACTTCCAGTTTTTAGCTCACCAGCCATAAATGCTTAAGAAGATATAGAGTAAAAAGATACAGAGTAATAATCCTTTACCATTATATGAGACTTCTTAGTTCCAGAGTGCTTTTGAATCCGTATCTCATTTAATACCAAAAAACTCTTGTAAGACTAAGAAGAACAAGTATTTTTATTTTAAGATAAGGCGTAAAGTTGTTTAATGGTTGGTTCACCACTAATAGAAAAATTATTCAAAATTAGCATATTTTAATTAACTGTAAAAAAGACTAATATAGCATAAATGAAACTAAAATCATTTAATAAATTATTTAATAAAATATTAAAATAATATATATAAATGGAACCAAATAAATTGAGTTTTGTTCTCTTTTTTAACAATCTGAATTGAGTTTAATAACCTTTTGGGGCTTACCTTCCTATCTTTCAAAAATATTAATAAATCAACATTTGGCCAGGCTCATACCTGTAATCCTAGCACTTTGGGAGGCCAAGGTGGGTGGATGGCTTGAGGTCAGGAGTTTGACACCACCCTGAGCAACATAGCAAGACCCCAATTCTACAAAAAATAGAAAAATTAGCAAGGCGTAGTAATGTGTGCCTGTAATCCCAGCTACTTGGGAGGCTGAGGCAGGAGGATTACTTGAGCCCAGGAGTTTGAGGTTGCAGTGACCTATGATCATGTCACTGCCCTCATGCCCAGTCAACAAAGCAAGACCCTGCCTCCCCAAAAAGTAAAACATAAAAAAATAAATAAATAAACACCTGAACAGATAGTGCCAAAAAGCATGTTCAGGGGCTTAGAAATAACATGTAGTCCAATGTATTCTTCCATTCATTCACCAGTTTATATGTAGAGAAAAGTCCCAGGTAGTGACACGATTCCTAGAGAGTGGGGTGAAATACTCTGAATGGTTTCTGTGAAAAAGATGATCAGTCAGTCGTGATTCCTCTCTGAGAACTGATTCTTATTCCTTTTAATATTGTAGCCTGGAGTGATAGATTTTAGAAGGAGAAATTATGTTACAGATTAAAGAAATAAAGCATAAATGGACTTTCACGAGAGAATATTTTAAATATCTGTGGGTATTAGAAAACATGGTAACAGATTGACTTTCATGACTTTAAAATTTATGTATGTGTATTGTCTTTTTATTTACTCTACGAAAAAAGGAAGATCCAAGATTGAAAATTCCAGCTCATCTGAGAGGGAAGACATCACTTGATTCTTCCACTGACCTAGGGCCTTTACCTGTAAGTTTACAGAACTGCTCCCAATCTAACTGGGCTGTCGCAAACATTTTGTATTTTGGGATGTAGTTCTTTAACAACTATACTTAATATTATTATTAAAAATGTTGATGCCTTCTACTAAAAATTAAATATACAAATTAAATTAACCCTATAACCATACTGTTTTTCTATCCATATATCAAAAATCCCACCCTAAAATAATTGAAATACATTCTTAATTATAGCCAGGATGGGAAGAGAGAACTCACACAGATGGAAGAATCTTCTACATAAATCACAGTATGTGCAGTTGATTTTTCATTACATTATTTTTTGTAATACTGAATTTTTAATACCATAATACTGAATTTTGTGCATAAGAACATATTTTTCCTTCTTCCCTTCAGATATAAAAAGAACACAATGGGAAGATCCTCGGTTGCAGAATGTGGCAATAACTGGACCAGTAAGTCTCTGTGTGTCAGTGTGCTCTGATGGGATTGTCCTCTCACCTGTCCCTTCAAGAGCAAATGGTCAAGGGCATGACCCTTCGGGCACAGAGAGGAGAGCACATTTGCCATTCTCTCCTCTCCCCGCCACCTCTACTCCAAGTCTGTTACTTGAAAAGATTCTATAAAGTCATTCATTACCCTTACCCTACACAATAGCCTTGAAAAACTAGTGAATTCAGACAGTCAAAATGTTAAGGTAGTGGGCTGCTGAGCTCAGCTGGTACTTGCCATTGTCTGAAAAAGAATGTTGACAGTCCTCAGCCGGTCAGAGAGGAGCCCAGAGTGTAGCAGGATGAGGAAGCAGCAGCACCCTTTCAAATCCAGGGTCATGTCTTGATTTTGGTAGAAATCATTGTATTAATAAATGTATATAAGACATGTCGCATTTAAGTATAACATTACCATGTATGATGATTATACTACTCTTGAGTCTGATTAATGATAGAATTATTATCCTCTTTTATAATATATAGCTACTTTTTCCATTTTTATTCAGATTTCAATTGTTTCTAATTCACAAAAATAAGTAAAATTGTAGAGGTTTTTTTAGATTATTCTTTAGTAGCTTGATGTGTAGTCTTTTAAAAATAATGGATAAAAAAGGCTACTTTCCTCAGAGTTCAAGGAAAAAGTACACTTTTCAAATTGTTCCTTCAATGGAGAAATCACTTTGAAAATCTTGTTAGAAATGGAAATTTTTGTTTCTGATATTTCTCTACTTGGAAGAAATTTCCTGTTTCTGGCATGTTGCACTTTAGGAATACTGCATGATGAAAATTACAGCCATAGAAATTGCTGAATACAATTTTATCTTAAACAGAGAAATTAAATATTTTAAGGTTTTGTATTTGTTTTTCTTGTAATTAAACTTCTCTGTCCAAATATTCTCTTTTAATACTCTTAACTTATGCTCATAAAATACCCGAAGGGGAACTTTTAAAATTGTTCCAGACGAAAAACAACCTAAACCTTCTTTATTTTTCCAAAATTTTCAACTAAAGGCAGTGCCCTACTCCAGGGATTACAAAAGAAAGTATGAGTTCTTCCGAAGAAAGTTGAAGAAGCAGGTTAGTGATATTTATACTAAGTACTTAGGAATGATCATTATATAGGCTGAAAGTAATGGTAGATGCCTTTTAAAAAGTAATAGAAAATTCTATATTTGTAACCACTTCGAGTGAATAGTTTCTCATAGGGAAAGGATGCTTATTTTTTGAGTAGCTGTTATATCTCATTAGAGACCATAATTATTTTATGTCTTTGTTTTTGAAAATATTTCATAATATAGAAAAATAGTATTAAAAGCTTGCTTTAAAGAGTTCTAACCTGCTGTTTTCTTGTGGGGTTTGTGGGGCTTGATCTTCGTAGAACCTGAGCAAGAGTAGCTTGGAAGATTATCTTCTGGCCTAGTCTTTGATTATATTGGAGGACTCTCTGGATTCCTTTACTATAATATTAGTACTTTGACTTGTTTTCCAGTGATAGTCATTCATTCTTTACAGCTTCAAATATATCTCTGCATAATTAAAAAATACAACTATGAGTGGAACAGTGGTCTTGTTACTTGTCTCCTTACGCTTATCAGTTATGTTCACTACACTTGTTTCCATCACTGAAAATTCAGTGTTTGGAACTAAACTCATCACCTGTCCATTTCATTTCTGTTAGTGTCAACCATTTTTAATGCCTTTCTAATTTGCTCGTCCTTTCCCCCTTTCCCTGCAGTTTAGGGATACTACCACTAGGTGGCTATATTGGGTTACACTTTCCTACACTACGCCAGAAGCTTACTTTTCCAGAGATTCAAGATAGTGTGTCTGCCAACAGATTTTTCATCCAAAATTTTAACAAAAATGAAATATGATAGTTTAGTGCAAATATTTTATGTCCTAATAAAGTTTTTAAATACTAGAAACCTTTTAAATACATTTTAAAGAACTTAAGATTACCCTGGGAATTTATTTCCTACTTCTAGCTTTGGGATTTTAAATCTTTATTTATTGTTCTGGTAGAGGTTTTCATTCTTAAAGAGAATATGCTGGTGGAATGGAAGCACTATCTTCTCCGTTTGCCAGTCTGAGTGCTTGAAATACATTATAATATCTTATTGTTAATGTCTTCCAGGCAGCAGGAGATAGGAGACAGGCTTTTGTTGACAGACCACAGATTACAAAAACCGTAATGAAAGCAATTATATTTATTGATTTCTCACTACATACTAGGCATTATTCTTATCAGTTTACATGTGTTATTCATTTAATCTCTACAATAACTTTGTACAGGAGGGACTGTTATCACAGTTTACAGGTGAGGAAACTGAGGCACAGATAGAGTAGGTAATATGATTGAGTCCCATGGTTATTAAGTGGAAAAGCCAAGTGGTCTAGTTCCAGAGTCCATGCTCTTAACAAACGTGATGTATCTTATTGGCGATTAAGAGAGAAACTTTGTACGGAAGTTATGCAGAATGCAACAAAGGTATATAAAAGGGGTAAACATATAAAAGAAAGGTTAAGAGACACAGTCATTGCAGGAGGAGAGAATCAAGATCATGAAGAGGAGGCTGAGAATCCGAATCCTCAGATTAACCAAAAGTCTCACGCAGGATTATAAAAATAAAATCTATATCTAGACACGTTTTTTTTTTTTTTAAGAGACAGGGTCTCGCTCTGTTACCCGGGCTAGAGTGCAGTGGTGCCAAATACCGTGTAAGCACTTTTTTCCCCTAGAGCCTCGCTCTGTCGCCCTGAGTAGAATGCAGTGGCGTCATCATAGTTCACGGAAACCTCAGCCTCCTGAGTAGCTGGGACTACAGGCACACGCTGCAACACCCTGCTAATTTTTCTATTTTTAGTAGAGATGGGGTCTCCACTGTTGGTCAGGCTGGTCTCAAACTCCTGAGCTCAAGCTATCCTCCCGCCTCAGTCTCCCAGAGTGCTAGGATTACAGGCATGAGCCACTGCTCCCGGCCCTGTGTAGGCACTTAAAATGCATTATCACATTAAGTCTTGAAACTACTCCATGAGGGTAGATGTTATTATCTCTATTTTATAGATGAGGAAATTAAGCCTTAGAAAAAAACGTGTAACTTGCCCAAAGTCTCACACTTAGTGACGGGTGGAGTCAGGACTTGCACACGGGCCTGATTCCAGAATCCATGCTCTTGTCTGCTACTCAGTTCAAACGCTAAGGCTTCTCCTGTAGCCGTCTCTTCTTCCATTACCATTGCTCCTTCACAGCTACGTTTGTCTTCTCTCACATGGGCTATTTCAGGGGTCTTTCGCTGACCAGTGTGCCTCTTGGCCCTCCTCCTTAAAACCCGCTTTTACCCCCTATCCTGTCAGCGTCTAAAAACCCACCCATCTGATCATGTGGCTCCCCTGCTCAGAAACTCTCTTCCCAGTCTGCCATTCACCACTCGGCCCCTCTCTGGCCCCAGACTACTTTCCCACCTTCTTCTTTCACTGTAATCCCTGCTTGTCTTTCCCTTCTTCTCCTCCTGCTATACCGTCTAGCTATGAAATCTCCCAGACCGTTTTTCCGACGCTCCCTTCCTCTCCAAGTTTCCTCAATGGCCTCTTCACAGTTACTAGCTCAATCTTTTATGCCCTCTTAGAACATTGTTTGTATCTCTATTATTAGCAATTATCCTACTCTTTCAAGTCTCAGTTTCTCACATAGACACCAGATTATAAACTCCTCGAGGAAGCAACCACAGCTTATGCCAGGTTTTTGTTCCCTATTTTCCCCCGTCCCTGGCCCTACTATAGTACTTACCCAGCAAGGGACCTGGCCCAGAGTCGGCATCTGATAAATGCTTACCTGCACTGGCTGCCTCGTCTCCAGTCTAAAATTGCTTTTCTCTAAACTTACCATTTTTTTAATGGCATAAGCAGCAGAGGAAACTGCTTACATTATGATGTTTCTATAGGGCTTTCCATTTTCCCTAAATATATTGAGAGTGAAATTGATTTTTTTTTTCTTAGAGCTAACCTCCTTTTTTTTTTTTTTGAAGTGCTAGAATGTTTTTTTCTCGTACTGATTTTCACTTGAAAATTGCACAGGAAACACTCAGGAATAAAATACTCAGATATATTTTTTGAAAAATTCACAGTAAGATCTGCCTAAGGCATAGTTATGTACATTTGTCACATACGCAAACGATGTACCCAGGATTAGTGGGGCAACATAGCCCACTAGTGAAAAACAGAGACTCGGGAGCAAAGGCTTTCTTAACTTCTGCCTTCTTCACTTTCATCATCTGTGAAATGGAGACAGTAATAGTAGCTTCCATACAGTGTTGTTCTTAAGTTAAACGGCTTAACTCACCATTCCAACGGAACAGTGCCTGGCACAGACTGTAAATGTTAGCATCTATTGTGAGTGAAGCAGGACAGACTCCAAGGAGGAACGGGGGAAGTAGGGAAAACCCTGAGTGGACAGGCAAGCAACACGTGGCAGGCAGTGGCTAGACTGGATCACAGAATGGTGTTCACTGGAACTTAATGTGGAAAGGGCTTTTAATGAAATGCCTTCATGTGGGCATTATCATCACTATCAATAGCTTCTTCAGATCTAAAAACCAGAAATGTGTATTATTAAGTGATTAGAGAAAATGCATGAACTTTTTCATATCGTAGAGGAAAATTAAGACAATACACCTAGTTGTGCGAGCATATTCCTTAAAGAAAGAGGGACTCCACAGGTAGGAGTGCAGTGAATAGTATGTAGCTTTTATGAGACATCAACTTGTCATGTTGAATTAATTTAAACCAATTCTTCTCTGGGTTTTCAGAATGACATTCCAAACAAATTTGAAATGAAACTTCGCCGTGCCACTGTGCTCGAGGACTCTTACCGGAGAATCATGGGCGTCAAGAAAGCCGATTTCCTCAAGGCTCGACTGTGGATTGAGTTTGATGGTGAAAAGGGATTAGATTATGGAGGAGTCGCCAGGGAATGGTTCTTCCTGATCTCGAAGGAAATGTTTAACCCTTATTATGGGTTGTTTGAATATTCCGCTACGTAAGTACCTTTACAATGACTATATACAGAAAAAGAAAAAAATCACTGTTTTAACGTAACCTAAACATATGTACACCCATAATTTGCTGAAATAAAAATTAAAAAAATAAAAAAAATAAAAATAAGAGTTGTATGTTATGCAAGAAAAAGGAGATTATAACTAATGTTTCAGAAATGACTTTATACATGACATAAAATTTATCATTTTCACCATTTTAACTATTCAGTTTAGTGGCATTAAATACATTCTACACTGTTGTGCAACGATCACCATCATCCATCTCTAGCACTTTGTCATCTTCCCAAAATGAAACTCTGTATCCAGTAAACACTAACTCCCCACTCCTTAGCAACAACCATTCTATGTTCTGTCTCTAGAAATTTGACTACTCTAGGTACCTGATGTAAGTGGAATCATTCAATATTCGTTCTTTTGTGACTCGCTGATTTTACTTTGATGCATGGTGTTTTCAGGGTTCATCCATGTTGTAGGATATGTCAGAATCTCCTTCCTTTTTAAGGCTGAATAATATTACATTAATTTTATGTAGTATATTTTGTTTATTCATTCATCAATTGACGGCCATTTTGATAATTTCTACCTTTTGATAGAAATTACTATTTTTAAAATCATTAAATCCAATGGTTGAATGTGGTTCTCAGAGAGGTAAACAACTCTAAAAAGAAGGAGATAATTTATAATTATTTGCTGTATTAAAATTTTTCAAGAGGAACATTTAAATGTGGTTGTCTTTACAGGGATAATTATACCCTACAGATAAATCCAAACTCTGGATTGTGTAATGAAGATCACCTCTCTTACTTCAAGTTTATTGGTCGGGTTGCTGGAATGGCAGTTTACCATGGCAAACTGTTGGATGGTTAGTATTAACTCTAAAACTTTTTTAAATGTAATTATGTTTTCTTTCACTTGGTAATCATTTTAAATATGTCCGAATTTTTGCAAGGTTTTTTCATCCGCCCATTTTACAAGATGATGCTACACAAGCCAATAACGCTTCATGATATGGAATCAGTGGTATGTCTTTTTCACTTATATTTGATATAAAGGAAGTATAATTTAACAAGCGACTTGAACATGTTGAGGAATGAACTTTTAATGATACAGAAATTAATAAATTGTTTCCAAATACAAATGAAGTTTTTCCCCCAACATTTTATTATGAAAATTTTCTAATATATAATAAAGTTGAAAGAATTTCATAGTAGACGCTTGCATATCCACCACCCATCATTGGCTTTTTTTTTCCTATATTCACTTTATCACATATCCATCAATCCATCTTAATTTTTTCTTGTATTCAAAGTTGCACATATCAGTAAACTTCCCCCTAAATACCTTAACATGCAATACGACAGTTATGTATCTTTTGGATAGGTATTTGAATCATGATCTTATGTGATGGTGTATATTTTTAAACAGCAGTCCGAAGGCAAGAGCTTGTGGTTAGGCCCCTACAAAGAAACAGAAGCCCAAGGATGAAATCCCTGACCACAGCCTTGTTGCTTGCTGCCTGTGCTGCTGAATAACCTCATACAATGTGTGTACACATGGATTCTAAGACTTTCCCTTAGTACCCCAAGTACATTTTTTATTCTTGTTATACATTATAGGCACAAACAGTATGATTTTTTAATAAATCATAAGATTGCAGTTATTCGAGTAAATTAATTGAGTTGCTATATTTAATTTGAGATTTTTCTTTAACTTGGGCCAGGCATAAACAATGACCTCCTCATAGCTACTTAAACATTTCACACACAGTCTCATAGGCCTATGAGAAAGGTGCCAGAGTGTTCCTGGATACCCGTGGAAGTTAGGATTTATCTGAATACTGCTTTGTGTAACCCTTTAACTGGGTTATAAAACCTATACCTCCACTGCTCTCACACAGGGATAGATTTCTGGACCTTTAAGCAGGCAACACTCTATTGATTGATGCATTTTTATTCTTGCACTTACCTGACATCCATCTCTTCTTGTAATACATGCGTGTGTGCACAGAAAGGATGTCCAACTGACCTTTTCATTTTTCACCCAATTATTCAGACCCTCAGCATACTTTTTTTTATTTGCAAGTTCAGGTGTCTTTCTTATATATACAAATTTTAAATATGCAATTTTTCTATCTAGGATAGTGAATATTACAATTCCCTAAGATGGATTCTTGAAAATGATCCAACAGAATTGGACCTCAGGTTTGTCATAGATGAAGAACTTTTTGGACAGGTTTGTGAAATTTGATCAATTAAAATGGTACATAAGTTATAAAACGAATGTTGTAACTTAAGTTTAGATGTTAATGCATATATTCAACACATTTCTATGCTCTGTTTTTACATTTATTTTCCAGCAACAAAAGCTGTCTCTCAGCAAGAATGTATGCTTTCTTTGACATTTGACTCATTCCATATTTATTTTAGTAAAACTAATATTTTAAGTTTTCTTACCTTTTAGCTTTTAACTGTATTTAATTTCAAACACCAGGTTTTTGGTATAACTGTATGTATATTTTTAACATTTTTCTCACTAAAATAACATCAAGGGATTGTGTTTAATTTTAGACACATCAACATGAGTTGAAAAATGGTGGATCAGAAATAGTTGTCACCAATAAGAACAAAAAGGAATATATTTAGTAAGTATTTTATTAGTTAGTATTTTACTGGAAATAATGTTGTATTTTATTCCACAAAGACTCTTCTTACCTTCTTTCTCTTCCCCCTTGGCCAGAATCTCAATGTTCTTTTCTATAACAATGCAGTATCGCACACTCACATTCAGCTTTTGCTTTGGGCTTAGCTAGTCATTATGTTTTGTTTCTAACTGGAATAAACACGCCTTAAAATTTTTTCGTGGTTCATGTGAAAAAGAATGAAATGTTTTGTTTCTTTTTAGTCTTGTAATACAATGGCGATTTGTAAACCGGATCCAGAAGCAAATGGCTGCTTTTAAAGAGGTATTCATTTTCTTTTGTTTGCTCTTCTATAATTTCAGAGTAAATCCGTAAGTTTCAAATATAGGGCCTCATCACATCTGAGACAAACAAGTATACGGCTTGCTTTATAAAACCATTCTAAATTATATTTTATGTTAACAAGATGAATATTTTAGATGCTAACTGTTAAAATTCAGTCTTTCAAAAAGTCTAGACAATAAACATTCAGCCCCCCATCCCCCACACTTTTACCAATCCCACTGTCTCACCTTAAGTAACCTCAGGAGAGCAAAGGCACAAGAGTGCTCTAGGGATAGTGTAATATCTTGTTTATTGGGATCCCATCATACATGTTGTTTTGTGACTTGCTTTCTTCCCTTATCAAATATTTATTGGAGACATTTACATGTCAAAATATATGGCTATCTTAGCTGCTGTATTTTATTCATAATATAAATTCATAAGTTATTTAAACCTCCTCAGTTGGTGGACCTATAGGCTATTGTCAGAGCACTCATTTCTTAAGCTAACTTAAGTATGTATCACATGCTTTTATTTATTCAATATCAAGCACTATGTGTATGGTGCTGTGCTGGGCAAAAAAGACATAGGTCCTGCTATCAAGGAACATAGGATTTAAAAAGTGAAATACACAGGCGAGTACAGAAGAGAGGTTTGGAATAGGCACAGGAAGGGACGAGGAAGGTCTAGAGGAATTAGCCAACCCTAGAGCAGGGGGAAATGCAATTCTAAGCAGAGAGAACAGCGTGTGTGAAGCCTGGCAATAAGATAGGCTGTGCACGCGTTAGAAAAGATGCAAGTGGTTTAGTGTGCTGGATAAGAGGATGCAGGAGGGAAAGAATAAGCCTGAAGAGCCAAGCAGACCAGATTTTAAAGGGCCTGTCTGTTGAGCAGTGAAGTTGGGAGTTTTCTGTTGGGTCCAGTGAGGGGAAGGAAGGTGGCATTCAATGCCCTTAAACATAGCCGGGCATGGTGGCGCATGCCTATAGTCCCAGCAGCTCAGGAGGCTGAGGCAGGAGGATCGCTTGAGCCCAGGAGTTGCACTCCAGCCTGGGCAACAGAGCAAGACTCCATCTCTAAAAGAAATGAAAAATTTTAAAAGGCTATGGAACAATAAAATGGCAGGATTCAGTTTACATTTTAGATCATTCTGGAAGTGGTATGTAGAGTGAGTTAGAGGAGGGCAAAACTAGCAGCAGAGACTCGCCAGCAGAGCTGGGAAAGTGCCACAATAATCCTAGTGGGAATGGTGAGGACAGGAATGAGGTGGTGGTGGTGGGAAGAGAGTCGTGTGTGCATCTGGATGGCGTTCAGGGAGGGAGCCTTAAAGGATAGAGATCTGGGGTGGCAGTGTGGATTTGGGAATCTCTGCCCACATGGAGGGAAGCGGACTTAAGATGGAAAACGTGAAAGAGCAGTGGTAGGGGATTGCGCCACACATGGAGACCTGGGGCCACCAGCATCTCCGATTTTGTTTTGAATGGATGATTTATATGAATGGACCGTTGAATGGCTGGTGAAAGGGAGACTTCAGAGGAAATTAAGACAGATAAAGGTATGAAGAGCAGACAGTTTCAAGAACAAAGATGTTTTCAACAATATCATACTGCAAAGAAGTCAAAGTAAGAGATTTATTACATATAGCTGCAAAGCTGTCTTTGACCTTTTCCAGAATAGTTTCAGGGAAGCAGTGGTGTAGAGGTCAGATCACAGTGGGCTGGGGGACAGATGGAGATGAGCAGGTGGACTGGGGAGTGTACGACACTGTCAAGAACGTGGCTGTGAAGAGGAGGAGGAAGAGAGGTATTGGCTCTTTTTCTTGTTTTCAGGGTAGATATGGCTTGGACACATTTAAATGAGTAAAGAGTGAGCCAGTAGGGAGATAAAAGTCTAGTGAGAGGCCCTCCTGAGGAAGCAGGTGAAGCGCAGGGGTAGGGCTGGCTGGGAAGAGGAGGGCGCCCCTCTGCCACCGCAGTGGGAAGGAGGCCACGATGGATATAGGTGACGGTCGGTACGTGGGGATGCAGAAGTTTGACGGAGTTGGGTCCCACACAACTGCCTATTTTCTCTCTCAGATGGAACTTACCTACTGTGAAGAAGGGCTTAAGAAGTACGGGGAAGTTTTAAAACAGCCACTTTGAGGAATAAATGAGAGAGAACACACCGTGGATACATACATTTTCTTGCCAATACTGAGATTTCAGTTAAAAGCCCATGATTATGTAGTGGTAGGAATTCACGTGGATGTGGGGTTTCTCCAGCAGCACTCAGCAGCTGAAGTTGGGGCACGTCCGCTGACCCTGCTAACCAGCTTTTTAAATGCATTGTTTTCTTCTAGGGATTTTTTGAACTAATACCACAGGATCTCATCAAAATTTTTGATGAAAATGAATTAGAGGTAAGGAATATTATTTTTATGTTAAAAAGAGGAATTTTGTACCTAATATTTTGCTTGCTTACAGTTTGACATTTCTTATGTTTTAGCTTCTTATGTGTGGACTGGGAGATGTGGATGTGAACGACTGGAGAGAGCATACAAAGTACAAAAACGGCTACAGTGTCAATCATCAAGTCATACAGTGGTTTTGGAAGGTAACTTAGAACTTATATCTTCATAACTTACTTTTTGATAGATTCAGTCGTATTTAAGTCCACTCTCAATTAACTGTACCCGTGGATTATATATACGTAATACAGAAAAATACAGTCCAGCAAAAGTTATCTTTGATTTTGTAACATACACACACACACACACACACACATACCCCTTCTGGGTAGGGTTCCAACCTCTGTAATATTTATAAATAGGTAAGTAAAGTGTTCAGAATGTAGTAAAGGGTAATGACAGGCTGAGATAGGCAGCTAGTTTCCTATTAAAGTGGGCACTCTAAGAGAACTTGCAATAACCTGCAATGTATTCTTAGGGCCTCCTGCATGGCTCCTTTAAATTTTCTCATAGGTAAATGTGCATGCCATTCAATAATATCAATAAATACAATTTTTAAAAAGCCGTGCATCACACGAGAAGAGAAATTTTGTAACTTCATTAGGTTATAATCCCATTCCAAAGAGTTGTCATTTTCAGGAACTTTATAAACCACCCGTAAATGTAAATTTAACTAAAAGAAACATGCAAATTTAATAAGTGCTTATTAATGCGCCAACTAAATTCCGATAACATATTTTTCAGGATAATTGTTTTACCTTTTTCTCCAGTGCTATTCCCTAAATGACGTTTTTATCTTCTTCAGGCTGTTTTAATGATGGATTCAGAAAAAAGAATAAGATTACTTCAGTTTGTCACAGGCACATCCCGTGTGCCTATGAATGGATTTGCTGAACTATATGGTAAGGATTTTCCATAGATCATTAAAGAAATGGAGTGATGCCACTTGTCTTTTTCATGTCTGATTAGTCTTTAAGCTAGGCTCGCTCTGTCGCCCCAGCTAGAGTGCAGTGGCATCACTGTAGCTCACAGCAACCTCAAACTCCTGGGCTCAAGTGACCCTCCTGCCTCAGGCTCCTGGGTAGCTGGGACCACAGGCACACGCCACTGCACCTGGCTAATTTTTCTATTTTTAGTAGAGACAGGGTCTCACTCTTGCTCAGGCTGGTCTCGAACTCCTGACCTCAAGTGATCCTCCCACCTCTGCCTCCCAGAGCGCTAGGATTACAGGTGTGAGCCACTGCACCCAGCCTAAGCTTCTATCATTTATGCGAACATTTAGCTTAATTTTAAGAAGAATTAAGATTTATCAGATACACTGAAGTAGGCCAAAATATACTTACACCTTCTAATCAGATAATGAAAGAGAAAACTGGAAACATCAAAGGGCTTAGTTACTTTCTATTCTTGAACTTTAAATTCTATTCCCACTATGGTTCCATTACAGAAAAACCATTACCTCTAAGTGTGATAGTTGAGGGAAGCATTTTAAGTTCCACAGAAGGTTAATAAGTATGCAACAAAAAACAAAGATTATCATAGTAGAATACCTTTGAGGAAATGCTGGAGTAAACAAAGTTAAATAGATTTCTTCAAGACTTGTTCAGAACCTTTACTGTCAAAAAAAAAAAAAAGTTTTTTCCAAAACTTCTTTGATCATGAAATCTTTTTTTTTTCCTTTGTGGTGGGAGTTGAGGGGTAGAGAAACTCATTATGCTGCTATTTCTCATTTCTCAGGACTAGGGATAAGACTGCATATATCTTTCTTTCAGAATAGTTAATATTAATGCAGTTTTCTATAAAGTAAAATTCTGTACATCCTATCAACTTTTTCAGTTGATTGACACATTACAGGTACATTTTATTAAAAAGTGCTATTTTTGATGTAGATAATAGCAACTTTTCTCATATTGATTCATATTCTGTTTATTGGAATGATATTTACTTTTAAAGATAGCAGGAATAAATCTTTTAGAAAAGGTGTAGCTGAAGTTGGAGCCCTACTTAGAACAACAAATAACAATTGTTCAGGGAGCCAGAAATCAGAAACTGCTGCCTAGGATATCGCTAAGCTGAATTTTTCATGCAAATAGAAGCTGTTACCATGTGATGGGATTGCCAACCCCTCTCTCTTTGACAAACCTAGGTCTCCTTGTTAAGCTTCATTTATGTGTGTTTGCAGAACCGGTCAAACAGCTGCCACTTCTCTACCTAACTAACCACTCACAGTGGTTAGCTTTGCTACTAACCAACTTGCTCATTCCTTGCCTAATTGGACTTCTTAGCCTTTGTCCTTTTAGTGGTTTCACCTGACTCCTTTCTTCTCTTCTCTACTTCAGCCAGTTAGTGGGAAAAAAATCTAGGCAGGGCAAGCAAATGCCATTTCTAGATCCTCTTCCCTCTTTTATGCAACTCTGGCCTATAGCCATCCACTGATTTCCAGCACTGTTTGGAATCTGGGACAAATTTCCTGCACACAGAGCCAAAGTTGTTTGTGTTAGAATATACATTCAAATTCTTATGTATTTACAGAAAGAAGTTGCCACAAAATGTTAATATTATAATGCAATATTGTATAGCCAATAAAAAGCATGTTAAATTTATGTTATTTTAGTTTTCACAATGGATTATTTAGGTAAGAGAACCAAGAGATAGAAGTATATATGATTCCATGTTATGGAAAACACTGACAAAAGAACTAAAATTTTAACTGTGAAAATAACTGTGATGGGTGATACGTGAAAAGTTAGGCTTTATTTCTGGCAAATACACACACACACTTGCATATGATTTTAAGACGTGAAGAAAAGTATAGAAAGTTACAGATTGGGTTGTCAAAATTGACTACCTGTTGGTTGGGGGATGTTGAAGGTTGGAGAAGGAAGAACTAAGTGAAAACTCTGAAGAAACAGACAATTTCTAAAAATGTCCATAATAAAAGAAAAATGTAGACTGTATAACATGATCACATGCACACAAAATTCTCTGTATTTATGCACGTGCACAAAAAGATTCATGACAGGACATATACCTAGAGTTAATAGTAGGGTTGGAGGTGATTTTGTTTTTTTTTTTTTACATCCTTCATTGTATTTTACTCTATTGCATTAAGTTTTTACAGTGAGATTATTTGTATAATCAGAAAAAATTAAAGCTATTTTCAGTGGTACTCAAAAGGGAAAGAAAGTGCTTGCTTCGGTAGCACATATGCTAAAATTGGAACGATACAGAGATTAGCATGACCACTGCGCAAGGATGACAGGCAAATTCATGAAGTGCTCCATGTTTTGCACAGTTCATGAAGGTCAAAGGTTGTTCAACAAAAAGAGAGAAAGAAAGAAAATACTCATTCTCTTTGCGTACCCATGAAGGAAATTGCACATGGAAATGAAATGTGTACAGGGCCAGGAAACAGCAAGGCAAAGTGATATGGTGGTCACAAATGACCTGACAAGGAATCCTCATTTCCTAGCTGAACAATAAAGCCATCAAGCATAGGACAGTAGTCATTTAAGTTAAAAAAAAAAAAAAAGATTAGTTCCCTGTATATGTAAGTTCTACACTAGAAAAAGTAGGTTATGAAATGCCTACAGATTCCTGTATAAAGTAAATGAAACCAAAGAAACTCTTTTTCCTTATAGGCTCAAACGGACCACAGTCATTTACGGTTGAACAGTGGGGTACCCCTGAAAAGCTGCCAAGAGCTCATACCTGGTAAGCAGTTGCTTAGACCTTGATAGAAAAATCCTCAGAAAGCAAAGTTCCTCTGTTAGTCTAGCTATAGCAAGTCTAGCCCCCTCGGTGCTGTGTCAATGGCAGCTATGAATAAGGAATCAGTGACACTAACCCAGGAACAGGTATGTATTTAACCAAGGCAGTCTGGACTTGAAGTCCAGGTAGCTGAAGATCAGAGAGGTCCATCTAAACTGTTGACCGTACGTTGCCTCTATCTCATGAGTGACAGGCCATCCCAAGAGGGACTAGAACTTTCCATTTGGGAGGTTGAGATGGCAGAGCAACCTAGACATTTGGAAGTGGAGGTGGGGGCAGGAGTACTTCCCCAAGGAGTCATGGGAGAGAGTCTATGCCTAGAGGCTAATCCCATGTCTTTCTGTGTTGTTGGAACATGTGAGTAGCAGCATTGCTGTGTTTGCTGGAGGGATACTTTGTCAGTGTCTTTCATAACCAGTTTCCTCTCTGTTCCTTCAGCTTTAATCGCTTGGACTTGCCACCCTATGAGTCATTTGAAGAATTATGGGATAGACTTCAGATGGCAATTGAAAACACTCAGGGTTTTGATGGAGTTGATTAGACTGCAAATAACAATCTATGGTGTTTTTACTGCCGCAGTTTTATAAGCAAAGTCTTGGCTTAAAATTTTCCAGGGAACTACTAAAACTTGGCCACTGATTCTTCCCAGATATTGGAGGACATCATATAAAAGCATTGGAAAAAATAGTATGACAATTTTACCATGATCTCAATCACTTTTTAAAAATCACTTCAGCAGTGTGGCATTTACACGGTTGTTTTGTTGTATCTTTGGAGTTCGCGCTATAGGGTGCAAGTCCTGTGTGCCTGAAATAGTGGGTTTTATCCTTGACATTTACCTCTTGTATAGTATTTGCCAGGCAGTTCTTTCTTAAACTACTGAAGTTATAACTGTGAAGTATTTGTGATAAGTGTCATGTGTGAAAAGTTTGATGCTTTTTGAGAAGGAAAACTGAAATTTGGGAGAAAAAATACTTTGATTTTGAGTGACCTACAATATATTTAGTGCTACTTGCAGCTATTTATTATTTTGTAGACCTGCCTAATGCACCTTACTGCCCAGATTTTTAGAAGAACCTTGGAAAGTGTGTTACCTATATTTTCAGTCAACTGACTCACTTGCAAAAAGATTGTTTACTTTTTCACTTTAAAAGTATTTGGCTTTTGCTAATATGCAGTTTTACTAAACATGTGATTCATAAGGTGTGTGAAGCAAATTCATATTCGGGTAAAAAGCCTTTCTCTTCAAACATTCAACTAAAGCTCCACAAAGCAGTATTTCTAAATATGCCTTGAAGAACTGAGTTAAATGTATAGTACTTGCCTTTACTAGTCATTCTTTATACTCGTACAATTATGTAGTAAATATGTTTACAGGGATTATTATGTTTACAGTTTAAGCTAATTTCTGTAGTTGTATTTTTATATTTTTAGTATTTAGTAAAAAAAAAAAAAAAACCAAATAATTTGTTTAAAATAACCAAAGAGTAGTTATAATGCATAGTTTGTATTAAATTGCCATATTTCTTGTGCTTTTAAAAAATGCTGTTACCATGAAAATGTTTTATTACAAATCCAAAACTCTTTAGGCAAAATGCTACAGGTATAATCCTACTTTAACTAAATTGAAATATACAAAGACCATGTGCATGCATTCAACAAACATTTATTGAATGCCTGCTGTATGCATAGCGCTGTGCTAGGCCCTGGGGTAAGAGTTGTCAGCTTCAAAGAAATCTAGCTCAGTCCTTATCCTGAAGGAACTTACAAATGTGTAAATGAATTTGTAAACAGTCAAAAGTAGGGGTAAGCAGAATAAGGCAAAAGGGAAAATGTTCTAGGTTGCAGTATACCTGCAAAGATAAAATGTGCCAAGACTATATGTTTCATACCTGTATTGGAATGATTCTATAGCAAATGCTATTACAAAAAAGTAAACCTGTTTCTCAATATTGTATCTTGGTATTTAGAAATCATTGTAAATATATATTATGAATCTTCTTAAATACATACATATACACTCTGTGAGAATTGTAAAAAGTACTCTGGTTCTTGGTTTAAGTTTGTTGGGGCATAACATGAATGAGTACCTGTCAGCACCTGGTAGAGATCTCACATGTGACGGTAGCAAAACCACTTTCTAAACACCACGTCATCAGCTCGGTTTAGGGAAAGCAATTCCCAGACCAGGGCACCCTGCATTTCGTCTTCACCAGTGTCCACCAGCATTCAGGCGTGAGCACCAGGTGTAGTCCTGGTTTTATCACTTACCAACCGTGTGAACTGAAGCAACTCACTTAACCTCTTTGGACTCATGTTTCTTCAAATCTGTCAAATGAGAATAATCCTGCCCACCCTCATTGTCACATCAGATCATCCTAAATTCCAGAGAGAGGAGAAATTGGAAAGTGCTTCGTGAAGTATTACACCATCAGAAGATGCTCAATGCCAACCATCACATTTTGTCAAAGCAGGTGTACAAACTGACTCTGCTCCCAAAGAAGAATCTATTTAAGAATCAAGTGACTTCTGATAGACAAGGAAGTAGGAATGAATCTGACGTTGAATAAAGATACATATACATCTGCTTTTCTATATATGGATCTTGCCATCAGAATTCATTTTCTCCACATCAGCAAAGCAATGTTAATATGGGCCAATGCATTTTGGAAATGTCCTCATTGTGTAGAACTGAATGTGAAAACTGTTTTTTTTTAAAACAAAGTTTTACCACATGATTGTTTAAATATCACTTCTGTGAAATATCATGGCAGATATGGGAGCTTGAGAAAATATAAAGCTTTCTTTTCATCTGACTGATACTCAGTTGAATGATCCTGTGACTCAGATAAAACGCGGTGTTGATGAAACCAGACTCACTCCCGCCAGCCCCCAGCCACACACCTTCATCCCCTTGGTCTCCCAGGTGTGGGCTGACAGTCCAGAAGAAACCTGTATCAAGAAACACAGCCCCTCATCCTAAATAGAAAAGTATCCCAAATGTATTCTGCTGGAGAATCAGCAGGGTCATTTTCATAAAGGATATCATACTTTTCTAGAAATTATAAGCACATAATTTAAGCCTATATTTTTTCTAATTAAAAAATTTTAACAGACGATTGTATTACAAATGCACTTCATCATAAGTCAAAATTGTATTTGTTTTAGTTTTCTATTTATAATGTTGAAGTTATTCCATATAAATATCAAGTTAAACATAATTCTTTTGATTATAAACTATTTGACATTATTTTTTAAGATCTTCTGATATGGTAAATATATATCAAGATTGATGTATCAAAATTTATTGCATACTTTAAAGTATAAAATGATTTTTTAAAACCTTGATTCCACAAATAAAGTTCTATTCTAATTTAAAAAGCAAAACTGTGGTTCATTTTTAAACAGAAATGTTTCTAAGCTAGTATGCTGGGTGATGTCTTCTGGTCTAGTCCTTTGCAGCAACACATGAATTTCTCAAGAGAGTCTTTATTTGTTTTGGTTTTTGGTAGAAACACGGTCTTTGTTGCCCAGGCTGGTCTTAAACTCCTGGCCTCAAGCGATCCTCCAGCCTCAGCCTCCCAAAGTGCTGGGATTGTAAGCATAAACCACCATGCCCAGCTCTCAAGACAATCTTGAATTTATGTCTAATAAACTAACATGATTATAAACTCTTAACCGCAGATAATCAATCTCCACTTTACACAGAGTCAATGTTATGTGAAATATCCAGAAGACAAAAAAATAAAAGTTACAAAGGGACTGGATTTCAGACACACTTCTGCTCATCAAAGAGGCCAGCCTTGTAGCCAACCACTACTCATAACATTGTTTCTATGAGAAAAGGAACTCTGAGTGTTAATTCAGAACTAAGTATTTTATCTTTTCCTCCTCCTTGGGCACTGAGAAGTTTCCCAATTAGAAGGGAATCCACCCCCAGCCCCTCAAGCCAGCCCCATGTTTCCGCCACAGTGCAGACCGTAGCTGTTACTCGCTGGGGCTCAGGGTGCTGCCCTCTGCTTCCCCCTTTCCCTTCTAACCAGCTCGGGCAGTAGCCAGCCCACACCATGCCTCACCTGTGCAGGAAGTTCTTGCTTTGCTGTTCACTAGGGCAGACGTTTATTTTATAAGTGGTATAAAACCAAGGTGTTAGGATCTCAGGCTCTCTCTGTGAAGAAAGGACCTCAGTGGATTTCTGTGTATTTTCCTTGAAAGTTAAAGACTATGCCTGCACTAGCCTCCTGCTTCTGTTCTGCCAGTCTCTTCCCCTACAGTCCATCCTATGCAGTCCCTCCATCACAACCGCTGTTTGCTTTTTATTAATAGTATACAGATGTGACCGGGTCTCTACTGCCAAAAAAACCTCTGGGAACTCCCCAGAGCATGAAGCCCAAACCCGTTAGAATGGAATCCAGTCCATCCTCAGCCTAACATCTCAGTTCCTCCTTCCATTGTACCTCACTCAGGCCCCCTCCAGCCCCTAATCACTGCAAACTCCTCTGCACCTGCTCTATCTGGAAAGCTTCGCCCCTCCTTTCTACTTGATAAATCACTCCTTTTTTTGGATGCAGTGGAAAGGCACTGTGGCCTCAGCATTGGCCTCACTGTATACGAGCACAGGTGACATCGTATTTTGCAATTCTTTGTTTACATAATTCTATCCTACACATTTCTGGGCAGTTTGAGGACAAAGACTACTTTGTATACATCTTCATATGTTCATTTCCCAACACAAATCTTTAATGAATGAGACCTTGATCTGATAAATACTGTTCGTGTGTAGAATCCATTCAGCGCACACGTACGGGGCACCTACAACATGCCCAGAACCATGCAGTGACATACAGGAAGCTCTATATTTTGGCAGAGTTTGGGGACCATATAAATATTCCTGCACAGAGACACTGCTGGGTGCTGCGTTCTGCAGTAAACACTTTATGTGGATCCCATTTAATCTTCATAAAAACTCACTGAGGCAGGTTTTATAGGCTCAAGGACAAGTAATACACCTGAGGCCACGCAGCTTGTAAACTCAGCGAATTTATGAACCACAACGAAAAAGAAAAGCAATGGAATCCAACAAACAAATGACCCAGGTGTGTTAGTTTTCTTTTGCTACACAACAGAGTGCCACAAGCTTAGCAGCTAAAAACGATACCCACTTACTACCTCACAGTTCTGTTAGGGCAGGGTCCACGTGGGCTCAGCTGGGTTCTCTGCTTCGGGTCTCACAAGGCCAAAATCAAGATGTCTGGGCTCTTAACCTCCTTCCAAGATCCTTCAGGTTGTTGGCAGAATCCAGTTCCTAGTAGGTGTGGGTCTAAAGTCCTTGTTTTCTTGCCGAATGACAGCTGGGGGCACGCACCTTCTTGACATCACCCACATTCCTCAGCATTTGGCACTCTCCATCATCCAAAAAGGCTTCTCATGCTCCAAACCTCTCTGATGTCCCCTTCTGCCACCAGGTGGAGAAAATTCTCCGCTTGTCAAGGCTTTCTTGAATAGATTAGGCCCACCTGGATAATCGCCCTTTTGAAGGTTGACTGTGCCACAGGCATTACGCAATCATGGGAGTGAGATTTTTATCACATTCACAAATCGCAGGATTGGGGAACATGAGATCTTTCCTAGAATATTCTGTCTCCACACAAGTAAAGGTAAAGGATAGGAAAGTAAGATTGTGGAGATTCAGCTTGAAAAACACTTAAATATATCTAATTTTATAATGTGCGGTTTGGTTTGCCATTCTTTGTTCATAAAAAGCCAGATAGATTAACTAATGCTAACATCAGCCGGCAGAAGTCAATGTCAGCAGCCGTCAATTCCCAAGTCGTTGCTCTCAGGTGAGCCATTGGCTTGCATTTTTCTCAACAGCATCAAGGTTGAATTGGCCTGAAATTAGATTCGACTCATCCTTGTCAGCGTTCTTATTATATAAAGAGAAAGAAGAAGCCATAGCTGCT